TTAATAAATACATAATATAATATATTAAATAAAAATGTATAACGTTTCCGTGCGTTTTCAAAAGTTACTGCTTCACTGGGATCCAGGGCCGACAGAATTTAGAACGAATTGACCAGAAGAAGATAAAAGGCTGACTAGATAAGTCTAGGTGCAATGGATATCACGTTTTCACGTCTTCACGTCGCCACTGTCTCTGGTCCATAAGAAGATAGTATTTTTGCACATTTTGATTTTTTTTTTCTTTAAGAACGAAAAAGTTTTGTTATTGTGAGTATAAAGAGTACTTAAGTACTTACATTATGATAATACTCTTTTTATTTTTCAATAATTATATTTTTTAAATTAAAGATTTAAGGGTAATATTTATATTATATTTTTATTTTTAAAAAAGAAAAGAAAAGATAAAAAAATTTTGTGAATTGGATGATTAATTAATTAAAATGAATGGAGAATGGTATAGTTAAAATTAAAAAATATATATTTATCTATTTTAAAAGTAAAAAAAAAATTAATTTAAAATAAATTTAAACTAAGAAAATAACAATTATTTTGGAAACTGATAAAATTTTACATAAGAAACATTGAAAATTTTGCATTTTAAAGATCTCTACTAAAATCCCTAAGGTTGCGTTTGCCAACCTCTATTTGAGTTTGCAATATGTATTTTAAACTCATTTATATGAAATATATTTAGTTTAAATTATTTTGTTTAGATTATTATTAACAAAATTGAATTTGAATTTGAATATTACAAACTCAAAGCAAATCCTTTATCTCATGTAGATCAACGCATATTCTTTTAGGTATTTAATTGAATACCTAGTGTGCTTTAATTAAAAAATGCCAAAAGGTAAATTACTCTATGTGAAAATTATACATGTGGGGGTCAACGCAAGACTTGTATTCAATTTAAAATCAATTGACAATAGGCCTTTATTATATTTAACCCATAAACTTTTTATTTTTATATTCAATGTAGAATTTTCTCACTCAACACCCCGTATTCTAATTTGAGATTGTTTTACCATTTATTAACCTAATTTACACTCTTGAAACAAAACTTAGATAGTTAGATCGAAAATCAAAATGAATACATCGGCTAAATTGCAATTTTGCACCGCAAAATTTAAAACAATGAAATGCAACAATTCCTGAACAAGGATTACACAAAGCTTTATTTCAATCTACATGCTTGCCATTCACCACAAGTTTAAGAAAGGAAAGGGGATTAAATAGATTTATTGGATTCAGGTTCTCATTGTATGATTGGATTAATCATTTTAATTTGTATTCTAAAACAATAAATGTTTAAATTGTGTAATAGCAGAACGTGATAAATATGAGTAAAAGTACTCAATGTATTTCAACATAATAAAATAAAATTTTATTTGGATGATTAAAAAAAAAA